GATCAGGTTCTTGTAGTAATTGTTGTCGAAGTAGTTGGGGGTTTTAACATCAAAGGGTACACGGTTGTTGTCGCTGGTGGCCGCCGGAAGTGGACAGTTTGATCGTCGTAACTTAGCAAACGAAGCATCGATGTTGGTGTCGTTGTAAACACGTGCTCTGAAAGTCGTACAACGTGCTTGTCCGATTGTATGTGCACCGGAGAGCGCCACCAGGTCTTTGGTTGAGAGACCCACCGCTCGGAATCTATTCCTGAGGTTGCTGAGGGTGGAAGACGGTGGTGGAATAACACCGCTGTTGGCGTCGGAAAGGCTGGCGGATTTGGAGTCTCTTCTTCCAAGTTTAACCTTCCATGAGGGTCCTCCTAACTGCCCAAACAACATAGCGATTTTTCGTTAAAAAACAGGGGTGTTGCCTGATTGGTTTTAGCTTGGCTCCAGAGGTCAAAAGTATCAGGATGTCTTAAGTTCGAATCCAATGAGGAATAAAAATTCCCTTGTGGCCACGGAGGTTCAAATGCGGTGACTCCGGGCTATCTGCAAAGCAGATGGTCGCCCTGGGATTAGTCGGGTCGCATAGCGGGTTGGATATCCAGATTAACAAAAAAAAATGCTTGTGAAAATTCTATTAATTGCTACGTACCGCAACAACGGATTCACGAGCAGTAATTGCTAATATGTCAGCACACGACACGACACCAGGGCAAACTTTTTCCACCTTCGACTTGATGTCATCAATTACATTATAACCCCTGACCGAGTTGTTATTCGCAAATGAAGTTTTCTCTCCTGTAAACGAAGATGTATCGTCCAACAAGATTGACCCGTCACAACCCTACAACCATTAATAAAAAACTCGTATCAGTATCAAACTCTATATATAATTAAATAACTTAGAGAGAAAGAAAAGCACATACGTTAACAAAGCAATCATGAAAATGGAGCCGAAGCAAAGATGCGCCCATGCGCTTTTCCTTGGACACAGCGGACCGAACCACTGAGCCTACCGTGTGGAACACCTTTGGGCAAGTCTTGGAGTAGAAGCCGGTTGTGAGTTGAGCGGAAGAAGTACTAGTTGTCAACCATAAGGTACAAGCAAGCAATGCAAATGAGATGATAATAGAAGAAGCCATTTGTTTTGTTGAATTAGAGTAGTGAGTGTGTTTAAAAGAAGAAACTGTTATTACTATATATAGTAAGAGATCAAGATTCATAGAAGAAGAAGCCATTTTTGTAACTTACTAAATTTGGTCTAAATTGCAACAAGAATTAAATTAATTGAATTTATTTGATGCATAAAGTTGAAATTTCACAAATGTATGCAAGTTTCTATTTCTTTTTTTAAATAAATTTCTATATTACTATTTTATTTTATATTAAAATAAGTGTCCAATTTTAAAAATAAATGTCTATTTTTCAATTTTACACTTAATTCTGATGCAAAGATTTTTTTTCCTATAATTAAGGGTAAATTTATCTTTTTACTAATTAAGAACGCTACTGATTACATATTTCTAAAACTCGATGTATTTTTATTATAGATATTTATTTTGGGATAGAGAGACTGTTATGTTATTTGGATATGTGCACAAGTTGATACCCAATAATGCATAAAATGTTGAGTTACAAATGATAATGCAATATGTACAATTGTTATTGCACAATATATATATATATATATATATATATATATATATGGTGTATTTTTCTGAAATTATATGGAATATTTGAACAAGGTGTCGGATGGGGCTGCTAGTTGACCCAGTTTTTTTGGAAGGGAAGTAGTTATCAAATGTATATTATATTATAAAGTATTTGATAAAAAAATTAAAAATCAATTTTTATATGTAAAGTATTGTTTATTAATGTATATTACTTAAAACTCAAAATTACGAGTAGATTGTGCTTAAATATAACTTATTAAAGTTCCATGTCTGAATTCGTGTAACTAACTGCAGATAAACATAATCAAATACATGATAAATATCTCATTTTTAAATATAAAAAATCTAAAATATAATTATGATAATCATTGAGTTCTAACAAAATATTTAATTATTATCTTTATAAAATGTTATATTATTAAACCAAAAATAAATTATTTTGTTATTAAACTTAAATTAAAAAAATTACATAAAAAATGAGAACTTTTAAATAGTTAATTTGATATTAACATTGATATATATTTTTTTCAAATTTTTATGATATTTTCAAATTTATATTTTATTCAAAAATAAAATCGTACTATAACATCAACAGAGACAAATCATAAAATAGAACATTAAAATCAAGATTTGTCTCGCTGCATTGCACGAGTACTCTTCTACGAATTAATGATGTAGTTGGATATAAACTGTTAGTATATAAATAAACTTTATAAACCAGTATTAATCTAATGAATTGGTTCAATAAATATTGATTGTTTTTTAATATAAGCGTTAATCATAATAAATTAATTTTTTTTAAATAAAAAATAAAGTTCTAAACAAGAGAAATTAAATTTAAAAAACTTAAGAAAAAAAACTAAATTTTAAACAAAAAAAATATATGTGTTTAAAAAAAACTAAGGGTTGTGCTTAAACTAGAGGTGTTGCATTCGAGAATCAGAAGGTCCCGTGATTAGGCACGTGACTTAGATCGCGAAAGAAGCCGTGTGGTACACTATTGAGATTACTACTCTAGACGTGGGCGACCATCGTTGCGACTTAAATCACGGGCCTGGTCGTGGGAACCGTATTGAGCCTTTGAAACCCGATTTCCTTGAGGTTTTCTCATTTTACTACTCTCATAACTCTCTCTCTCTTCATTGATGTCGGTAGGAAACCCTACGAGGCAATTTTCTCATAACGTTTAAGGCACTTTGAAGGCATTCGTCATCAAGTTTGAGTATTTAAGTTGGAGATCGAAGAACTCCTCCTCCTCGCCATTTTGCTTGGTTTTTAGGTTTTATTCAAAACCTAGTATTATGAGTACATACTGTACTCTTACAAAACTATATACATGTTAAATTTTGCATTTTGTCGTTAGGGGCGTTTTTGGGATGACATTTTTGGAGATACATAGCGGTCATACATTGATTAGAAATCTTTTGGTGATCATAACGACACCCGATTTTAATTTTTACCGAGTTTGGTTTAGATTATTAGGTTGTTAGCTATCGTTCTTATTTATTTTTGTAAATGCTTATATTTCCCCACCCATTGGGTGATTATATGTATTTAAGTATCATTTCTGTATTTATTTTCCGGTTTAAGTTTTACAGTTTTGAAGTTATAAGGTGTGTAAAAACGTTTGGATTTGGTCCGAAAAATTCGATATGCGTAGATTCGATTCGGAGAAGAGTTCAAAACTTTCTTAAGTCGTTTAAAAAATTCCGTTAAACAAAGGGAATTTTTGTTCTTTTATCTAATCAAAATCGATTTTATGATTTTGGTCATGTTTTTTATGGATAAAAGAAAAAAAATCGATAAAAGAACGAAAATGTCACTCATGTAACGGAATTTTTATAACTGTTGTTAGAAGGATGGACCAAATAAGATGTTTTTGCAAACCACAACACCATCTTGTAATTTTAATGTGTAATGTATTCATCTGCTTTAAGTTTATATTATATAAAAAATATATAAATAGTAGTATAATGTGTCATCGTAACCAAAATTGTGAAAAATCAGTTAAAAACTTAACCAAATAAGTTATCCTTATTCATTTAAGTCGAAAACAAAAACCCGAACCTGTTTAGATTCAGATGGATTAATTTTTGATACCCTTATTTATGTCCTCAGTAATAAAATTTTTAAATCCATCACTGATTACATCTGCTCTTAAAATCTAACAATGGTCCAATTAATCACGTCCTCACGATGAATTGAATTCCACTAAGTCATGCAAGTGCATGTTGAAAATGACTCATTTCCACAATTTTACCAATTAGGTGTAGCTCATTATTATCTACATGGTTTGAAGCTCGAAACCAACTTCCGTCGTACACATGTTGAATGTTATCATCATTCACGAATGATCGTGTGAAAATATGAGTTAAGGTGAAAAATGTAAAAAGGGATTTGGACCGTTGATCGCTTTTAATCTCAAACCAACTCATAAATTACGCTTTAGATGTGGATTGGTCCGGTGTTTCTCATTAGTGTTGATCTAGTGGAACTCTTCGATTAGAGTTGATCCAAGGGTGGAGATCTTTTCTCACTTTTTTCACCATAACTCTCATTTTCACCGAAACTCAACCCATCATCCTTAAGCTTTCCCATAAGAACCTTTGCCCGCGTCATGGATCAAATTATTAATTAGTGCTCCATTTGTCCCAAAATAAACGTCCACAACGAAAAATGCACACTCAGTTTTAGTAATATGTAATTATTACATTTTTATAAATTCATGAAAGAACAATTTTACCCCTAATTACAGAAGAAGGAATTTTCTTCATCTCATAAATTAAAGTAGAATGAGAAAGAGAGATATTAACTTTTGAAAGATGACACTTATTTCACTGCTACAAAGTTGACTTTGTAGGACGAATAGATGTCTAAATATCTTAATAGAATATTTTTTAGAACTTAAGTTTATAGAACCAAACTGTAAAGTATCATATTTAAAAGCATTACAATATATTTATAGGACTTTAACGAGTCTTTTAGAACGCTTTTAAAATGTCTTATTAACAATTTTATAGGATATTTTTGAGATGTATCCTATTAACTCATCTTTCTACAGGATACTTGTGTTTATTTTCAAATTGTATCGTAAAATAGCTAATACGACATTCTATTTTAAAAGTGTCCTAAAAAAATTGTTAAAACGCCTAAAAACATCCTATAAAACTATTGCAACACTTTTAAAATAAGACGATATTTTGTTTGGTTCTACAAACTCAAGTTCTATAAAGTATTTTCTTAAGACATTTTTACATTTTAGTCGTTTTATAAAATCAATTTTATTGTAAAGTTGTAATATTTTAAAACAAGAGCTCACTTTGACCTGATTCTTTTACCACTTCTAATTAATCACTTCTTCATTAATGTTAATTTAATAGTTGTAGGTTTAAAACTGTTCCGTTTATCAAACGCTTACCCGGATCAATGCTTATTAAGTCATAACTTATCAAATGAATATGATAAGAACCAAGATTCTTACCCGGTAAGAACGAGATAAGAACCAAAAGTCTTACCCAATAAATGATGGCGACGACTCTTACCACGGTAAGCGCTTACCGGGTAAATTGTTACATATGATATCGTTTTAGTTTACTAAAATCTTACTCCATAAATAAATGAAATGAATAATTTAGACTCCAAAAACCGATGTTTTATTGCATGAAACAGATTACATTTGACCAAATTTTATTGTAAAAAACAAATACATCAAGAACTCAAATCACTAAATTCACACTTATCATAAATAGATCCAAAAAACGAGATTTAATTAATTTCCGGTCAATTAATTACGAATTAACCTTCCTGCAGTTCTTCCTGATCTCGCCATTGGAGCCGGTGAGGGGACGGATGTCACCCATCTTGATCATGGCAGCTGCAAAATCCGCGTTGAAACTTCCGGCGTTTCTGCTGTATTGTTCCACCAAGGAATCGGTGGAGCCACCGTTGTGCAGCACTTGGTCTGACCGGAGAAGACCCTGTTGGTTGATCAGGTTCTTGTAGTAATTGTTGTCGAAATAAGTTGGGGTTTTAACGTCAAGGGGTGCAAGGTTGTTGTCGCCGGAGCCTGCCGGAAGTGGGCAGTTTGACTGCCGTGACCTGGCAAATGAAGCATCGATGTTGCGGTCGTTATAGATACGTGCTCTGAAACTTGTACAACGAGCTTGTCCGATTGTATGTGAACCTGAGAGCGCCACCATGTCTTTGGCGGAGAGACCCACCGCCTGGAACCGGTTGATGAGGTTGTTGAGGGTGGAGTTCGGTGGTGGAATAACGCCGCTGTTGGCGGCGGAGAGGCTGGCGGATTTTGAATCTCTTCTTCCTACTTTAACCTTCCATGAGGGTCCTCCTAACTGTTCAAACAATACAGCGATGGTTACCACTACAAGTCAAAGTTGACCACTTCTGTCACTAAAATTCAAACCAAAACGTGACGGAATATTGGTCGCGAAAAATATTTTCGAAATTGCCAACAAACATTAATTATAGACAAATTTATTCATGCATAACTTAATGAAAAATCAACCAAACAGCCCTTAAAACTGTCTGAAAATGGTGATCCCACAATTAAGCACGTGCATGATTTGGTTACGTTGATTTAGATCGTAAAATGTTGACAAAACTGATAGACTTATTTTGATAATTTTACAAACCAAATAAAACCGGTAAGCAAGATTGGTCAAAAGTGGTTTGAAGACAAAATTTTTAAAGATAACACTACTTACAGCAAGAGTAGATTCGAGAGCAGAAATTGCTAGAATATCAGCACACGATACTACACCAGGGCAAACTTTTTCCACACTCCTCTTAACATCGTCAATCACATTAAAACCCCTAACTGAGTTTGCATTCGGCCTTGCAGTTTTCTCTCCAGTGAATGAAGACGTATCATCCAACAAGATTGACCCGTCACACCCCTGCCAAAAAAAAAAAAAAACCACCCTTAATTGACTTCTACCATAACACCAAGTTCTATAAATAACTAAATTAGAAAGAGAAAGAAAAACCACATACGTTAACAAAGCAATCATGGAAATGCAGCCGTAGAAGAGATGCACCCATACGCTTCTCCTTGGACACAGCAGACCGAATCACTGAGCCTACAGTTTGGAAAACCTTCGGGCAACTCTTGGAGTAGAAATCGTGCGAGAGTTGAGCTGAGGAAGTACCGGTCATCAAGCACAAGGTACAAGCAAGCAATGCGAACGAGAAGATCATAGAAGAAGAAGCCATTTTCATTAACTATTTGGATTAAAGAGGGTTAAAAGGTGATTAGTAATGAGTGTGTTTGATGGAACAAAGGGTTACTATATATAGTAAGAGGTCGAGGTTGATATGGGTGTTGGGCCAGAGCAGCTAACCTAATAATCTGGACTAAATTGCAACAAAATTAAATTAATTGGGTTTATTTTGAAAACACGTTAACGTGATAGGGTATAAGTACGAATTTGTCAAAAGTGGGGTCCTTGCATGCAATTTTATATTTTTTTATTTATAAATTATTTTTAAATGTCCTTTTAACGGGTTCCACGGTCCATGCACAAATTGTAGAAGAGGTCATAAAGAGATTCAAAAATGGTTATGGAAATACATAATTAAAACTAAGCTCTCGTTTACAAAATGTTTATTTGGGTAAGTGTTTATGGTAAAAGTCAACATTATCATTTACTTATCGGGTAAGTTTTTAATCCACCAAAACGGTAATTTATGCAACAATTTACCCGGTAAGCGTAAAACCGTGGTAAGAGTCGTCATCGTTAATTACCAAGTAAGATTCTTTGTCTTTGTCATATACATCTAGTAAGGTAATGTAACTTGGTAAACACTTATCCGAATAAACGTTTAGTAAATGACCCCTAAATACTCTTTGGTCTAACGGTATCTGCGTTAAAGGTATAGACTCAACTTTTTAAAAGGTAAACAGTTCAAACCTCGTTAAAAATAAAGAGGGTGTATATGTTTATTTATCATTAAAATAATCTCTATGGTTTATTTAATATGAGTCTATTTCTCGTAGAAGCCAAATTTTTATTACAAGTAAAGTAGGAGGAACGAAAATTCATTTTCTGTTTTTCTCATTTTCATTCTCCAACTTGAACCAAACAACCCCGTAATTTATTACTTAAACGACATCGTTTCATTGAGATAAAAAAAACCCGATTGGATCAGATACAAAACCAGAGTGATTATTGAGGGGTCGTTTACAAACGCTTACCAAGTCATATTACCGAATGAATACCGCAAGGATCAAGAATCTTACTCGGTAAGAGGGCAAGGACCGAGAGTCTTATCCGGTAAGTGAGAACGACGACTTTTATCACGGTTAGCACTTACCGGGTAAATTGTTGCATCCAATAGCGTTTTGGTAGACTAAAATATTACCGGGTAAGAAAATAATAGTATTAAATTTTAGCCATAAACACAAAATTTGTTTGATTATTTGAATAAAAAAAGTTATCACAAATATTATTATTTTAGCACGCCATTTTATCCAAGATTAGTTAATTTGATTAAATTTAAGAAAACTAGAAGGTGCTTACGTAATGCAACGAAATACATCTTTATTTTAATATTCCGTTTTATTTTTAGTCTATACTGATATAAAACAACTATATGGTTTTGAGAAAGATAATGTTTTTACTTTTGAATAAAAATAAATTTGAAGATATCATAAAATTTTGAAAAAAATATATCGATATGAATATCAAATTAACTATTTAAAAGCTCTCTTTTTTTGTACAATTTCTGTAATTCAATTTTTTTATTATAATTTAATTTAAGTCTAATAGCAAAATACTTTATTTTTAGCGTAACAATATATTTTTATAAAGATAATGATTATTATAATTATATTTTATATTTTTTATATTTAAAATGAGATATTCATCTTACATTTGATTATGTTTATCTGCAATTAGTTATACGAATTCAAAAATAAAAATTTAAAAAGTTATATTTACGCACAATTTATGTGTAGCCTTAAATTTTAAGTAAAATGCATTAACGAACAGCACTTCATGCATAAAAAATGGTTTTTAAGAGTTTTTGTTAAATGTTTTATAATATAGTATAGATATTGTAGATTATGATACTATAAAATATAATTACATAAATAATAAATATTTTTTGCTCATATATTTTTGACAAGAAATAAAAAATCAAAAATATTATTTTTTATCTTATCCATATCTTACTTTTATTTGAAAGACTTTGTTTATTATAGAGATCACGACACATTTGTAATTATCAAAGAATGAATAAAATGACAGGGTACTAGTGATAACGCATAATGTACTGATGTTGTTGTAGAACGCATAATTGACCAGACTTAACTTTATAAATCAGATACTTTTTTTACTGAAGTTATATATAATAATTGAAGAAAGTTGTGATATAGCTTTCGAAGTAGTTACCAAATGATTAATGACGCAGTTAGGTACAAGTTATAACGCATAACACACAAACGTTATAGCCGAACACAAAATTGACGGAGAATTAGTTAAAAAATATGATGACTTTTCTACGTTAGGTGGTATGTGATTAATTGAATGAGTAGACGGCTTTCACCATCAGATTCGTCATTATTGTCGACAAATAAGTCCATCTAACAATATATTATTAGACAAAGCTATTAAATCCTATTTTTAAGTTTATGTTATATTGAAATTAACCACAAGGGTGGTGTCTGATTGGTTTGAGCTTGGCTCCAAAGATCAAAAGTATCAGGAGGTCTCAGGCTTAAATCCAAGAAGGAATAAAAATCCTCTTGTGCCCACGGAGGTTCAAATGCGGTGACTCCGAGCTATTTGCAAAGCTGGTGGTCGCCCTGAGATTAGTCGGCTCGCATAGCGTGTTGGATATCCATGTTAATAAAAAAAAAAGTTTATGTTATATTGAAATTATAAAAATTATAACGTTTTACATTGTGACAAATCAACCAAATTGGGAGTTGGGATGATGGTCGAAATCATTTAAGGTCAAAATGAGTAATTTTATGGTATGATATAAGTTGGATCCGAGTAGATTATAGAGAGAGGGGGGGGTGTGAGTTATTATACAATCGTTTACATTTGTACAACCAATATAATTCAATCCCAATCGTCCATTAAATTTGATGAATATGTGATTTTATAAAAGTTTTGATTGTTTCCTAATATAAAGTATTGATCATAGTTAGTGAACTTTACTCATCTTCCATAAATATTCAAATCATAATAAATGAACTTTCATCATTTCTATAAATAACTCAATTGATTGGGCTGTATTGGTTGTACAAATGTGATAGGTTGCATTTGAAACATCTTATTTCCTCTCTCTCTCTCTTTATATATATATATATATATATATATATACTAGTGGTGTACCCGTGCGATGCAGCGCGGGTAAATCACAATCCGAACATAATAGTTTGGCCTTGAATCATGAGTTTGTGTAGTTATTTTACAAGTCAACTAGTATATAAAGTTGAAGGTTAATACGATGTATTAACAAGATTGAATAAAAAAAAAGCGCACATGTCAGGTTGATACGTGTTTATTGAGTTTTGGAATGAAAAATAACACAATGGATTTCAATATATAAAAAATTGGGGTCGGTTGTTTGATGAAATAAATATGAAGTTGTTGAAGCAAATTTGTCAAAACCTAATCTTTAATTGATGTTTCCTTGTCTTACAAATTAAAATCTAATCCATCTTTGACTTTATATTTTTTAATTTCAGTATTTACAACTATTATTTAATTTACTTGGATTTTTGAATTTTTATTTTAACAAAAAGAGTTTTTGATTATTTTATTTTAACAAAAAAAAAAAGTTTACTAATTATTTTATTTAATTTTGTAAGAAGGTTAGAGAAAGGAAGATTTATATGTGAATCATTGGAAATATTCATTTGAAGATGCATATATGAATCTATATGAATAATCTGTAACATTGGTTCATGATTTCTTATAATAATTCACATATGAATATTTTTGTAACATTCTCTTTTTACCTTCTCACGATATTTAGTTTCTTTTATTTGAATCATTCGCAAATTACACTTTAGAAGCATGTAATAAAAGTCCCCAAGAAAAGGTACGTGACTAGTTTGGACAATTTCATAGATGAGCCGCTCTACTAATCAACAGGACCATTTCTTAGGGGGGTGTGGACCGGAGTATTGAATGTTTGAATATCGTGTCACCTTTAAAATCCATAAAAGTTGTTGAACTTTTCTTATGTTGATGATTATATCGATGCATTTTTTTAATGATTAAATGATTGAACTTTTTAGAAATTGGTTACTTAAATATTTTAACCCAAAAAACTACTTGTATTGTTGTAGAAGAGGGATAATCAAAATATTTTTTGATCGTTTTTTGGGCCCCGCCATTGATTCCTCTTTTTTGATCATTTTTTTTATTTTTATTTTTTGATTTGTCTATGTATATTCCATTATATTGTTATAGAAGAGAGAATTGGAACTGTTTGACAGTTGCTGAGTGATTTGGTGTAGAATGATTAAGTAGTCAGAATGATTAAGAGTCTTTCATGATATAGTGCAAAATGAAATGTAATTGTTTGATAATTATTTACAATAAAATTATTGTACTTAATGGTTAAGGGATGCCCATGATACATTCAGAGGATTTTAGAATCATTAAGAGACATACTTTTTTTTACCTAACAAGATTCACTTTTTAATGATTCAGATGTTGCCTCTTAATAGAACTGTTAAGAGGTAAACAAACAACCCCAAAATCGAAAGACAAAAAATAAAATAAAAAAGAGGAAGACCCTTTAGACGTAGTTATTCGAACACGTCAACATTTGTTAACTTGAATGAAGCGAGCTACTAGGAACCAACAAATCACAATTCTTTCTTCGACAATAATTATAATGCATATTCATATGTTAATTGTGCTACAAATAATGTCATTATTGAATAAGTGAAATATAATATAAATTATTCAATGTTTTATTTATATATATCAAATCTCAATGTTTATGTTTATAATAATTATATAATTACTTATTTTTTATTAA